TTACACTCTTTCTCACTTAAGTACGACATTCCATGTTTTCAATGTTCTATGAAAATTTGTGGAGATATATAAGCCTGATCATTCTTGTAAAATGTTTTAACAATTGTTCCTACATCAAAGATTTAATTTGAGCTCAAGTTTACTAGCTTATTGGTTTGATTTTGCTAGTGGCAATCGCTTTTGCAAGGAAGGGGTACGAAAAACAGCATGTCTTCAACTAAATCGAAGTATGTTTCATTGCACGTATCTTCGTACAAAAAGTCGTGGTTAACAGTAAACACAGCTTATTTTCGTTATTCTATTGCAGATTTTGACATATAAAATGTTATTGATATTCCGAAAATTAATTTTCTCAAAATCAAATTTGAATTGCTGGTCTTCAAAGTCGATATCATTTACGCGTCTTAATTGCAAAACAATGTTAATTATACATGGTAACTTATAAATGGTTATTTCAATAGCAATATTAAGTCTACAGTAATATAGTTCACATAAAATATGAAGATTAAGAGTATCTGTGTAACCATTTTGTTATTTACGTTGATTTGGATTTTACAAGCGTAATTTTTAGAAAATCATTTACGAGGCTCATCAATACCATGCGTTTTACAATATGTTTTCAATTATTTCAATGTTATAATACGTCAGATATCTAGAGCAGGTATTTGTCTTGCTTATATTCTGTTATTCATGTAAACCATTCCACTATTTCTCATAAAATTCCCTTGTCCAACAGAAATTTTCAACATTTACGAGCCTTACGGGACTCACCCTCTTTCACATTCTCTTGTGATTTATTCTGCTAAATTTGTTGAATTATTTCAACTTGTTAATGGACATTGGTATTGTTGGAATAGTATTCTTCCACGAAAACAAAGAAGTATCCATGTTTTTTAAACATACGCATCTGAAATGTGTTTTTCGCTTGCAGATAGCTTCTAAAATCATAATTTTGATATTGTATTTGGTATTCAGACGTTTTGACTATTATAGAGTTCAATGGATATTTACTTTCATATACGAATACATTAAAACTTATACTTCAATCACAAAAATGAAGTAAACATGAAAACAGGCGTGTCCGGTATCTGGCTAAACTGTCCCGTAAATGGTAAAATTAATTTTGGAATATTCATTCGAGTAAAAGGAAATTTTGAGTCCACGCGTATCGATGTAAACGCAATAATATTGGGGTATCTTGTATTAATTGTAAGATAGAAGGTTCTTTGGAGTAGATATAGTGAGAACTAACTATTATTTGTCTTTAATTAAATACATTCTGAAAATTTTATAACATTTTCATAGATGTTTCAGTTAAATGGACAATTACTTTCCATGCATCTTGATATAAAATATTTTAGTTTATCTAGATACTTAATATCTGTTTAAACAAACATACTGTACATTGTTTTGCAGTTCAATTATAAGATAATAGTAATTAGATCGATGTGTCCCGTAAATGACCAGAGCGAAATAATGATATAAAACAGTGATTTTCTCAATGAAAGTGATATTTCTATTAGAAAAAAATGTTTGTTTTGGTTCGTACTATTGTTTTCGTTTACACTTACTTGGATTTTATGCAAAACAAGCAATTTTGTTGAACTTCTAAGACCATTTGTGCGATCTTTCACTCATTTTTTTACTATTTTCAGTTCAATTGTTTAAATATTGATATTAAAGCCCAACCTTGCCAAAGGAATATCTGCTCCATTTCATAAATAAATATAAGTTAATCTTCAATCATTATAAATATATAATTCAAAGTATTTACATTTCTTTCTGTCAATCCATAGCATCTGGAGACTAGGTCAATTGCGGGACAATTGAAAAATCATTTACGAGTCCTTAATAAATTGTCAATATGTGAGATGACGTAAATTATTTCACATTTTACAATTGAATAATAAATAAGTAGGTACTTCAAAGAGTTCGTTAGTAATTATCACATCTTCTTACTCGTCCATTGTATGTATCTGTTGATTTTATAAGGTTATTCATTTTGAAAATGAGATTTAAGCATATACGATATGAAATGCATTTCCATGAGTTGTTTTCAAAAAGATGTATTTTTTTTGTCAGTTCAATGATTGATTCTCATTTCCAGATGTTCATATAAATAGATGATAGAAAGTTTATTTAAACTTTCTGGTTCTATCTAGAAAACCTGTCATAGGGAAAAGTCTAGGACATCTGTACTGATAATATTTTATATTAAAGATGTCAAGATACTTATTATTTTGGAATGGAATAAAATTTTAATATACAAGAAAGTTCATTTTTCAGTCCTAGAATTTATGAAATGTCGTACTTAAGTGAGAATGAGTGTTTAATGGGAGAAGTTTGCCGTGATTTCTCTTAAGCTTTGTTATTGTTTTACTCTTAAAATGCCACGCCGCTTTACAATCTTGTTGACATCGTAGCGGCAAGCCCAAGCAGAGTTCTTATTGTCATAATTTACAGCACTTTGCGTTGCTATGTATGTAGCTTTCCATGCATTTAGCTGTCTTTCATATTTTTCTCTCATTACATTATTTATTTCATTTCATATTTTTTGACGATGATATTTGTTTACACCAAAATGCACAATAAAGTCACGGCCTTATTCCAATCATTCTGTGTTCTGTTATTTTATTCACAATTTACTTTTTATAAAACAGTTACGTTTTCTCCTGGGAAATATAACCATTGGTATTAGAAAAGTTGCGCAGTTCCAGATGGTGCTATATTTTGCTATGCAAAGATATATGAATGTGATATGTGGTGATCTTTGGTTCTACCGTTTTAATAGCTTAGAAAATGCTACTCTTGGTTCTACATTCATGCGTATCTACTACGTATTGTTTTGTTCATTTATAAAGAAATCGTGTCATCTTAGACCCCACATCTATCAACGAAAGATATCTCAGCAATAACTAGTCTGCTTTCGAACCTTGTCGTAGTAAGACTACCCGTTAATAAATAAAAAGCCTGTAAAAACTTAAACTCGACAATCAAAAGGTTTTTAAATGATATTTGATTTAAGTTACTTTCTGGTACAATGGACTGGAGGCTTTATAGTTCCGCCCCATAAAGAGGATGACATAAAGGACCCAAGCAATTATAGAGGACTTTCTTTACTAAGTTCTTATGATAAATTATTTAAGAAAATTTCAAACAATAGATTAAATACTTTGGCAGAAAAATACCACGTCAATATTGAAGCTCAGACTGGTATTAGACAGCACATGGGAACTGCAGAACATTTTTGTTCTGCATTGTGTTATTACGTATCTGTTGAATAACAATAATAAACTATATGCTGTGTTTGTAGATTTAACTAAGGCTTTTGACTATTTAGTTAGAGATATTATATGTTTTAAACTTATTAGATATGGATGTTAGACGTTATTAAATCAATGTAGTCCAGAATAAATATCAAAATGTTTTGGGTGAAGAATTTACAGGTGCCACACAAGCAGAGACTTTATCACCTGTTTTGACCATATGTCTTAATGACATAGAAGACTATTTTATCATAATTGATTTTGAAGGACTTAATTTAGGAATCTTAAAATTGATTTTACTTTTATATGAATATATGCAGATGATATTGTTATTTTATCTGAAACAGAAGAAGGCTTTTATAAAGGTTTATTGTTATTGGAGAATGATTGTGATAAGTGGAGATTAACTGTTAATATTAAGAAAACTAAAATAATGATTTTCAGAAAGGAAACAAAGACGTAACATTTCATTCGTATATAATGAAGAACATTTGGAAATTGCCGAAAAATTCACTTGTTTAGGAATAGTTTTACAACTGGTTGATCTTTTAATACAACATTTGAAATTCATTGTGGCCAGGCTTTGAAGGCATTATATAAATTACAATTAGATTTGATTTAATTCTCATGTATAACTGTGAAACATGAACTAGACATTTTTGGTAAATTAATCTCACCAATTTGAACTACGCTTATAAGTTCAATTATTTTTTGTAAAAAAATTGTTAGGCGTCAGAGTGCAAACTCAGAATAATTTTATTTGTGGAGAACTAGGAAATGCATCTGGCTTAAATCATACAACCTGAGGATTTAAAGTATATAAAAAAATCTAAAAATGGATTATGATTTATTGAACAGGAAGTTACATATAATACAAAAGCACATGTTTCTAAGTGTCAGAAATTTATTACAGTCAATTGGTTTTAATGATGTATGGTCATCTCAATGTGTAGGTGTATTTTTCAGCTTAGTCAAACAAGTAAATGAGGTTTTTGTACAAAATTAGTTTTTAGAATTAAATGACTCAAGTAATGATCATTTTTATGTATTATTTGCAGATTTTAAATTTCAGAAGTATTTAAACTGCACTGTCTCGCTTTAGAGTTTCTTTAGAAAGACTTGAAACTGAAACTGGCAGTCGGAATAAACCTAGTGCTATACCGTTTAATGAATAGGAATGTAGAAATTGTTTCATTTTAGAAGATGAATTTCACTTCATTTTAGAATATTACTACGAAAACATAATATAAAAAAACCTTTTGAAAATGACCAAATATACCTATACTTATTGTGTTAATAAACCAAGAAAATGAAACAGAAATTAGAAACTTATCAATACGAGGGGTGATCAAGAATTAGGAAGACTGGTTCAATATCTTTGAAACGGACCCATATAAAATATTTTTATTTATATCACTATCGGGACCTATATCTTTGCCATTTACAAGGAGCTGTTCATCAGTCATGCATTACTCAGAGCAGAATAACTAGCATAATTGTAACTATAATAACGCGTTACCGGCCCAGGTGCTATTTTTATACATAATTGCTTTATTCAATGCATTATAATTTCGACACTGTTTATCAAAATACAAAAATGTAACAGAAAAAATGCGGGAATATGTTTTCGGACGTTTGTCTGACGTCGCATAAAAATTTGACGTCATTTGACGTTAGATAAAGAAAATAAACAACGTTTAAACCATAGTAGTCCGTTACGCAGCTAAGTTAAAAATGACATCACAAGAACGCCTTGAATTGCGTGCCAACATAAAGTTCTGCATGGAATTAGGTGAAACGCCTACCGACACATATAAAAAGCTGCAGAGGATCAGAGGAGAGAATGCTGTTTTTCGAGCACTCGTTTTTAAGTGGTTCCGGCGATTCTTTGAAGGGCGGAAGTCACTTGAAGATGATGAAGGGTGTGGAAGAAGGTCGAGCGTCAAGCCGTCAGATGTGACGTCAATTGAAGATATTATCAAGGAGGACGCAAGAGTGACCGTTCGAGAGATATCAGAAGTAACTGGGATGAGCTATGGTATCACCAAGAAATTGAACATGCGAAAGGTTTTTTATGTGCATTAACTTATGTTTTTTTGTTTAAATCACTGTACAACCTATTCAGTTTCGAATATAAAAAATCAAATTTTCCGCGCTAATTTATGATTTCGCACGTATTGTTATAAACAATAAAATGCACGGATACACATTTGTTTTAAACATGCTGCGTTATTCAAATTTATAAACAATGTATCAAAAACTTAAATAATTTCACAAAATACCTTAATATATAGAGGATATTGAATGAGTGTAGTTTAATACTTAATAAATTAAGCATTGAATCTACACGAATATAATATTCTATTTATCACATATATAAATTATAAAATAAGAACAGTGAACTGTTAAAATGAGTAATTTTTCAATGAGGCGCCTATAGTGTAACGCTGACATTAGCGCGCTTTTAACGCTATGTTTATATATAGCGCAAATGACGTCACGTCAAAGTATTATTACACTAGTGTAATATCGTTTTTATTAAATGGCTTTATTACACTCCTGCGCCGCGGTTATAGAGAATAATAGGTTGGTGCCGTGGATGGAGAAAGTTTTTCTGGCGAGGCGGAGGAATATATTGGGTGAGCCAAAGGCGAACCCAATAAATTCCGGAGCAGAGCCAGATAAACTTTCTCCATCCACGGCACCAATCTATTATTCTATTTATCCTGTCACCGTTTATTTTTTAGTTTAAACATATTTATTCCCGAAAGTATATATAATGTACATACATACAAATATATAACAAACAAAACATTTTACACAATGGAAAAGGATGAGAATAACAGACAAGTCTTATAGAATTCTTCTCCTTTGGCGAACTATATGGTTTGTCTTAAATAAGTTTATAATTAGTATATACTAGACAAGGGAATAAGTATTAATTAAAACAACCCCCAAAAAAAATATATAAAATTTTTATATAAAACTTTTTAGAATTTTTGAATTTAACTTTCAAAATAGAAATTTTTCTAAAAATGGGAAAAATATATAAAAAAAGAAAAAACAAAATATTTGGGAAAAAAGGGAAAAAAAAAGGGTTTTTAGAGGATTTATAGCCTAAAAAAAAATGGATTTTAAATGAAATTTTTTTTTCGTTTTTTTTTTCTTTTATAATTTTTTTACATTTGTAAAATATAATTAAACGTTTTCCTGGGGATGGGAAGGAAAAAATGGGGTTTTTTTCCATAGAGAAGTTTTTAAAGAAGGGTTTAATTTCTTGGAAAGTCTTTGGCAAGTTAAAGGGGGGGATTGGTTTTGCGGACGGGATCGTTTTGACAGCAAATCGAAAAAAAAAAAATTTTTGGGGGAGTTTCGGTTTGCCCACAATTACACAAAGGGGTAAGAGAAATGTTTTTCAAAAAACAGGTGGTGATTTAATGCGCTGCAGTTCGTTCGAAGCCGAGTGTGAAGGACCTGCGGTTTACGACTACCTGTATAAAAGTATGTTGGTGTATATTTTTCTGTCCTTGTTTAAGAAAGTTTTTAAATGAAGATATTGTAGGGCTGTTTCGTATTATAACAGGCAAGTTGTTCCAATCACGAATAAACTGATGGCAAGAAAGAATTGTGGTACAGAGTAGTCCTTGATGTAATTCCTCTGATATCTTCAGAGTTTCGTAAGCTGTAACGGGATT